ATGTGTGTGTGTCTGTTCTGTGTGTGTGTCTGTGTGTGTTTTGTAAAATGAAGAATTCAGTCATTAGATCACCATCTGTCAAGTAATTAGTTTTATGTTCTTCAATAAATCAACTACCTGGGATTCAGAAAAAAATCAGCCAAATTGAACTTTTTGCCTATTTCTTGTTAGATACAATCTCATTTTAATAAGTACAAGTTTATCTTGGGACTCTATTTAGCAAAGTGCTTCCATGCCCCAACAAATAGCTCACAGTACTTGGCAAATCCAGCCCCCCCCCAAAGAAACTCTAAATAAAGCAATTTCATAGAACATATGAACCCCCAGGGCCCTGCCATGCAGCTTCTAGCTGTGTACCACCACACAGTTATCTGGTTACCTTCTTGTACCTTCTTGTCTGATTGTAGCTATTTGCTGGGGCCTCAACAGAGGAGAGGGATGGAGTTTTACTGACCTAGAGCTGAGCTCCCAAACTCTCTGACACTCATAGATGTCCTGGCCCTGTCCTAGCTCTTTCCTTCAGTTCTTTGCTTTCTTCTTTTCCATGTTGACATCTCACCTTAAGTGAGTATGTCAGCATTCACAGCTGTAGACTACTACTATAATTCAGGGTGCACATGCATGTTCATGTATGAGCATGTGTGTGTGCATGTGTGTCTGGAAGCCAGAGGACATACATCTTCAAGTGTCTTTCATAGGCACACATTTATCTGAGACAAGGCCTCGCCCTGGCCTGAAATCTACAAGGCTAGGTTGACTGACCAGCAAGCCTCCAGATCCATCTATCTCCGCTTAGCCAGTTCTGAGATTGCAAACGTGCACCCACATGCTTGGCTTTTTCAGTGGAAATTCTGGAGCTTGAACTCAGCTCCTCATGCTTTCAAGGCAAGTTTTTTACCAACTGAGCTAATTTCCCAGTCCTTGTATCTACCTCTTAAAAAAAAAAACAATCTTTGAGTTTAATTGTATTATCAAACCACTTAGACCAGCTCAGCTCCCACAGAGAACAGTATCCAGATGATGTTCAGAAGTGAAGTATTTGGGTGAAAGGCTGCCCATCACTCCAGATACTTATTAATTTTTCCTTTGCTTTTTGTCTAACATAATCTATTACTATGATGTATTTTATATATTTTGGTTATTTAATTTTAAGTCCATCATGTTAGAATTCTTTTTCTACTTGCTTCCTGTTCTGTTCCCAGCACCAAAAGGCCTAGCAAAAGTCACTCAAAACAAAATAACACTGTTGCATGAATGAATACTTATATCTGTGGTCTCTGAGCCACACCAGCTTGGCTCACTGTTGGAAATGAATATTGTTGCCTTCCACTTCCCATAGAAATGAGCAGATGAGTAAGTTTAAAAAGCACTTATAAGGGGACTGGGGAGACGGCTCAGTGATTAAGAAGGCGTACCATACCACTCTCCTACTGAACCAGAGTTTAGTTCCCAGCATCCACACCAGGCTTATAAACACCTGTAACTCCAGCTCTGTAGTATCTGAAATCCTTTTCTATGCTCTGAGGGCACTGGCACGTGCATACACACACACACACACACACACACACACACACACACACACACACACACACACGTCTCTTTAGCTCACGTCACAGGATCTGAGAAAACCTTTCTTCTTGGGCCTGCCGGTTAGAAGTCTGGACCAGAGGGATGCTAGCGGGTTAAATTTTTAAAAAGAAAACCACTAATCATCTACCTCTTTCGCCTTGTAGGGATATGTTCCCCTCTATGTCAATGCAACTGCAGGCACAACTGTTTATGGCGCTTTTGATCCAATACAGGAGATTGCAGACATATGTGAGAAATACAACCTTTGGCTCCATGTTGACGTAAGTGTCCTCCTTCATACACAGCCCTGTCCTGTCAAGGGGCAGAACCAGCACTGCTTTCTGCTTTGCCTCCAGCTGCTCTGAACACCCTCCCTGGCTCTTTCTACACACTTTAGCTCCTACTCGTCCCCACTCCTCAGCCAGCCATTAATAAACAGTGCCTACCACAGAACCTGGTTACCCTCTGGAATTCGTCCCAGGCCCTTACTGGCCAATAGTGGCCTGGTGTGTCTCCTCCTAGAGTCTACTATGATGAGCAGTACCTCTCCTGTTTTGTTTTTTTTTTTTTTAATTTGGATGAATAGTAAAATATAGCTGACTTCAGAGAGAGAAAATAGTGAGACATAGCATACAGAAAGTAGCCATGAGTCTGAACACTCAGTCACCTGCCCGAGCCCCCATCTAACACTTCAAAGAAGATTGACTATCTGCATGCAGGAAAATAAGGAAGTACACAGAAGACACGAACTCTGGTTAGTCCCAGAGTTTCCCAACAACAGCAAATGTGCACTCCTACACATGTGATAGGAATCTTTTGTTTTCTTTCTTTCTCCCTGTCCTTTCTCTTACTGGACATAATTTCTTGGAAATAGACAATAGGAGAATCTGTCCCACTGTTGAGTAAATGGCTAGCAAAGGCTGTGCTGTGCCCCATGCTATGCCAGCATGGTATTGTGGTACCCACAATAGTGTCTTGGTATGACTGGAGCTTTGTGGACCCTCCAAACCCAGCAGGTGTTAGTGCTTTCTGGGTTTTTCAGGATTGTTTTGGAAGAAGCAGGAAGCTATGCCTGCCTTTTAAACATCCTTTTAAACATCAAAACCTCCATGGCAGTGGAAAGATGTGTATTGGGCTCAGAGAATCCCTGGCTGCCCACGGTACTTTAAGCCACTGAGCCTTGATCTGCAGCCACCACAAGCTCCACCCACTTTTTCTAGATCACTAAGACATTCTCTGGAGGAAGTTTATATAAAGAAATGGCAAGTGATGGATAGCCTGCCATCTGTGCAACCAGAACTGTCAGTGTGGACTTATTCCGTAGGTTATCCTTTGTGTAACCTTGACTGGCCTGGGACTTGCTATGTAGACAAAGATGGCCTCAAACTCAGAAAGCTGCCTGTTTCTGCTTCCTTAGTGCTGGAATTAAAGCCATGCCTAGCTTGGTTTTAGATTCTGCAGCATCACAGCTCCTCTTGACTCTTTCCTGTCTTTGCAGGCTGCCTGGGGTGGTGGGCTGCTCATGTCCCGGAAGCACCGCCACAAACTCAGTGGCATCGAAAGGTAAGTGGGCTTGGTAGCCTTCCCTCATCTGCATCAGATACACTATCCACCTTGGTCCAGCCCTCCCACTCCCAACCTTGACGTCAGCCTTCATTCCCCCAGCCCTGATTTTTTTCAGTGGTGGAACTCCATCTGACTAGGCAAACTTTAGCCTGTCTGGTGTTTTTGAGTGTTTCCTGCCTGGTTTATTTCCTAGTCAAATGAGTCCTCAGCTCACAATTGCAGGTGCCTAGGGAGGGGACGGGCAGGCCTCTGATTCCTTTAGCTCCTCCTCAGTAAGGTAATTGATGATTGACATACAGGGGCACCCACTCCAGCCTGTCTCTTGTGGGAGTCAGCTCCCCTGACTGATCTCAGTAGCTATGGCAAAAGACAGGAAGCAAAGGGGTAGAAAAGAATATCCCCAGCAAGTGGGTGTGGTCAATACAAAGGCCCCGAGACAATCTTGACAATGGGCATGGAGTGTAGCAGGAGAGCTGGAGAGCAGGCCAGTAAGAAAACTGGGCCAGGCAAGTTCATCAGAACACTCTGCTAGGAACAGCTCTGGCTTCATAGCTGCCTGTTTCCTTCTGTCTCTTTTGAAACACCATTGTCAACACGAGACTGACTTGTGAAAGATGAAAGATAGGATGCTATAATTCAGAGGAAAATATACTAAATGTTGATGAGCCAGCCCGACTGTACTTCAGACTCCTCAGAGGGTTCTCATTGTCTATCCTTGGATCCAGGAACAGGTGAAAGAATTAACACGAGACTTACTCTCTTTTTACTTTAAAGCATGAATGTCTTCCTGGGGGAGCCAAAGCCACATCGTGTCCTGTTAACTTCCACTTGCAGCAGCAGAGAACCATTTACTTCCTACTTTCAGGACATTCAGAAAATCATTTTTAAAGACATTTATGAGATCTAAGTATAATTATTAATAGCTTGATATGTGACAGCAATGATGAAATTGGCTTGACGGGGATTCTCTTCTATGATGTCAGCACTTAGTCAACCTTACCAGGGATTCCTCTCAGGTCTCTTTCTCTCTTTCATGAGACTTCCTTTTTGTGCATGTAAGGGAAATGTTCTTTAGCCTCTGCCCCCTTCTTGAAACTCAACACACACACAGACACACACACACACCACGAAGGACCAAAGGATGAGGTTAAAAACCCACAGCAAGGGCTTAGCACTGGGAGAGCACAGACAGTCTGTTTCCAAGGCAGTTGTGATATCAGAGGAAACACAGAGTCCAACTGTGGCCAAGACCATCAAGAAAAGGGTCTGCAACTCACCGGAGCAAATTTCCCAAGTCTGAATCATTATACATTACACTCGGTTGTTTCTGTAATGTCCTAGCTAGTGTTCCTTAGTCATCTAATTGTGTTTGACAGAGTGATGCAGTTGCTAGGAGACCACAGTTGTTAAGTGAGCTTTGCAGCCGAGACTGGCGAAAACCATGCTCATTTCTCATTCAGTCGCCGCTGCTAGCTAGTCCCAGTCTCTGGCAGCGTGGCTGATCATTGCACTCAGGTATGCCATCAGCAGGTTGGTCCTCATCGCCAGCCCTTCTTTAAACCAGAACAGTACAGGCAGGAAGAAGTCCATGGCTATTGGCTAGAAGAAGGCAGTCTGGTGTGTGGATGGTGAGTGTTGGCTCTGCAGAGAACCATCGGCTTGGACCCTGGATCCAGTCCCTACCAGCCATAGACTTTTGACAGTGTGGGTAACCTATCGGTGCATCAGCTTCCCTGTGTAAACTAGAAGTAATAGCAATATCTGCATCACAGTGTTGCTGTGGGAATTACATCTACCAAGCTCTGTGATAAGCATTACATGTTTTATGAACGTGTTTTCACCTTTATTCCTTTCTAATGAGATAGATGTGAATTCTGTAGCGAAGATGAGTTCTGTAATGTACACAAGCTAGGAAATCTCAGGACTAGGTTTTAGAATTGCACAGTACACTTGTAAAGCCCGAGTCCTTAGCCACATTTCCAGTCATAGACACCTAGAGCTCTGAGGACATGTTGTAGGACACTTAATAAGTAAGCAAGTGCGGCTGTTGTTATTAGCAGTTATATAGAACTCAGCAGTGCAATACCTTAAGAGATGGCCCACAGCCTGCCTGCCTTGTTTAGGAGATGGGGCAAGGAGGGCATCTGTCATCTCATTGGAGATCGGCCCAGTTTTCCTCAAGATGACAGGATCTTCCCTACCTTGCTCCAGTCTTCTCAGAGGTTCCTATGTGTCTTCCAGGGCCAATTCAGTTACCTGGAACCCACACAAGATGATGGGCGTGTTGCTACAGTGCTCAGCCATTCTGGTCAAGGAAAAGGTTTGTACTCCCTCCAGAGATGTGCCGGCAGCAAGCACATCCCAGTGCTTGAGAAAGGAATGGTTGGCAGCCCCATTATGAGCCTGCAGACTGTCCTGTATGCCCTCCCAGCAACCTAACCTATATTTTCCTCTCAGCTCTTGTTGTCGGCTGCCCTTTGTCTTTGTTCAGTGCTGGGGTCCCTGTTGGTGACAGACCCTTCAGTGAAACTCTTTGAGTATTTCTTCATGTCTGCACAGACCTGAGTGTGATTACTGAGCCACTCAATCAATAAGAACAAACCGTGCTCACTGGAACCTACTTTGAATTCTTAGTGGATATTTGTAGTCTCCAGAGCTGAAAAAATTAGATGGACCGATAAACACAAATCCTGGCTTAGGGCACCAGGGACTGTTAGCCAGAATACTTCTGTAAGGCCAGCAAGATGACTCAGTGAGTAAAGGTTGCTTGCTGACAAGCATGAGGCTCTGAGTTCTATCCCTGGGGCCCACATGGTGAAAGGAGAAACCAACTCCCTCAGATGTCTTCTGATCTCCCCTATACATCATACTGTACACATGTGTGCACACATGCAAATAAAAAAGTGTAATTTTTAAGAAAGCTCTATAAATGCTTTGGAGACAGATTTTCTTCCTCCCCCACACCCAGTGCTCTGATGTTTCATAAGCCTGCTGCAGGAGGGGCACCCACTCCAGCCTGTCTCTTGTGGGAGTCAGAACCCACGTAGGCTCTCCTCTACTTAACTTAATTTCATAGGATGTCTTGCATAAATTGGAAGAGTTGGAGGGGTAGTGTCTGGGGGGAAAGGAAGTTCTTCACAGCACTAGCTTTTCCACCTGCTGAAGTTTGTACACCAAGCCCTGCCCAAAGAAGGACAACATAACTCCTCCTTGAATCTGACAAACCTCAGATGTCCCTTAGAGGCCCTTGTAGGCATCCAATACAAGAGGACATTTTCTAACCAGAGTGGCAGAAGGCAAGGCAGGGTTGGGGGCAGACAGGCAGGGTTTTTTTCCAAGAGTGTCTTTAAAGGACATCTGAACTCACGAAAGGTCTGAGAAGAAAAGAGGTGTGGTTCCCAAATCCATCCTTGCACCCACAGCTCTGACTGGTGAATGCAGTTGCTTGTGTCTTGATTTCCATGACAGGGTATACTCCAAGGATGCAACCAGATGTGTGCAGGCTACCTCTTCCAACCAGACAAGCAGTATGATGTCTCCTATGATACTGGGGACAAGGCGATTCAGTGTGGCCGCCATGTGGACATCTTCAAGTTCTGGCTGATGTGGAAAGCAAAGGTATGAGGGGGAAATCCAGGAACCAGAACCGTGGCTAGCACAGACTAGCTGGTGAAGGACAGGCAGCGATGAATGGCAGATAATCCACTGAACACGTAACTGGGTCTGGATAACTGAGTTAACTATATTTTCCTTGTGAGCGGAGCAACTTCCTCCCTGTGTCAACCCTCTCTTCTTCAGCTAGTTCACCTTAGTTTGAATTAACATGGAAATGTCTTAGTCTTACAATTCTCTTTTTACTAAAAATTTTGCCAAGATAATGACTTCCATAACAACTCTTTTTTAAATTAAAAAAAGTATTTTTTTTCTGTTTTGTGTATGTGTGTGTTTATGAGTGTGAGTGTTCATGTGCCACGGTGTGCAGGTAGCAAGTTAGAAGGAAACATGCAGAGATTGGTTCCAAGCTTCCACTGTACGGGTTCCTATCAAATTCAGACTATAAGGCTCGGCAGGAAGCACCTTTACCCACTGAGCCATCTTGCCTGTCCTCCACAATTTATTCTTAAGAATTCTAAAAGTATCTAGTACAGATGTGGAAAAAGATATAAACTACCATGTTAGTCTGAAAACAGTTCAGAATTCCTTTATGAGGCACCTCATCAAGGAATATACATATGCATATGTGTGTATACATATATACATATATTTATATGTATGTATATAAACATACACTGTGGTTTAAAGTTCTGCTTAAATAATGGCTATCCCATTGCTAGCACTCCATACTCTACTCTGGGAACTACATAGTGTGTTCACTGTGTGTGGTACATGTGTGGATGGATGTGTGTGGTGCTTTGTGTGTGAACTATACATGTGTATGATGCTTTGTGTATATGGTTCTTTCTGTGTATGTGTTTGTGGAACTCTGTGTATGTTGGGATTAGAACTGACACTTGATCCTGGGGATTCATGTCACTGGGCTGAAGTACACTGAGATTGCAGTCTTCACCCTCTTGGGTACATTTCTGTATCTATGATAACAATTATGAGAAAGGACGATTACCACATTCCTGTTTCTAAAGTATCTTTATGCAGCCCAGTTAAAGGCAATTTGGATTTCACAGCCTTGCATCACATCTGTTGTTTCTATTTACTTTATATGTGTTAGTTTTAATAATTTGAACTAACTTTCCCTCCAAACAATCAGGCTTTCCAGCAACGTCTAGTTAGATATTTATTTCTTCTATAGGAAAAACTGGCAGGTGATTAATTTTCTTCCTCATTAAGTCATCTTGCCTTAATGTGGAATCTGGATTTGATTTCTCCCACGAAGTAATTGCAGGCATTTTGAGCATATAAATGCCTTCACCACCATAAGGGAAAGAGCCCTATCATTTTGCGCTGCTATAATGACCGCATGGCCTGTCTTCATAATTACAGCATCATTTTGTTTAACAGTGGCCTCTTGAACTGTCCCAAGGAGGTTTCGCCCCTGGGTTGTGGAGGAAAGATCCTGGGGTGGGATTCCTTCAAAGGGAGTGTCCCCAGTTGCACTACGTAGAGAGCCTTCTGCTTTGCCATTTCTGGACTCTGCCAGGCTCATCAGCCATCTACAGGCAGCCTCATGCATACATTCTCACTAATAGCAGACTGCATGTTGCTCTGCCAATCAGCCACGCTGGCTTTTGAAACTCATGCTAGCCAGCTTGTCAGTAGTTAGAGCTAGTGCAGTCTTGGGGTATGGGCTGATACCCATGGCTTCCACACCTGCCTGCTAGCCTGTTGGTGGAAGGAAGCAACACTGTTCTGTGACAGGTGGATTGCCTGTGAGGACTGGGGACAGGTTTAGCCTGGATATGTGGCTGGGGAAGATGCTTTCTGTGATCGTGTCTTTCAAAGTATCTGTGATAAAGAACCAGTTGGCAGTTCCTTGGACCTATCATGGACCAACATGAAACTGTTAGAAAAATGAAATGTAAAACAAAAAACTGAAGTCATTACTTGCGATTACCATCAAAAAGTATGTGTAGCTGTTTTTAAAGTTTCTTAACGGAACCAGGAAATGACTCAGCAAATAGAGGTGTTTGCCTCCGAGTGCTTGAGCCCCAGGAGTAACATGGTGAAAAGAAAACCTGACTCCCACTAGTTGTCCTCCAACCTTCACACATAGGCACACACAAAGACACTCATGGGTGTGGAAACACATTCATGCACACACAGAGAGAGTGTGTGTGTGTGGGGGGGGTGAGACAGACAGAATAAATAAATGTTATTTTTTAAAAAAGTTCTTAATTTCAACTTCTCTACTCATTCCACACTGGACCTGCTACAGTTTGCAGACGGGCCTCAGTCCAGATATGACACTTTGAGTGGCACTATCCACAAGCAAACTAGCTTGTGGTTAATTTGTAGGAAGCTAAAGCCCTGCTGAGAACAACTTCCAACAGACCAAACAAAGGTTTCCAAGGAGAAAGCATTTTCTTGCATGCAGGGCTTGAAGAAGCTGCACACATTTGATTAGATGGTCCTTCCTAACCGTCTCCAAGACAATACCTCTTTATATGACCCATAGACAAGGACAGCATAGCCTTCCCAAGTAATCTTCACAGGGTAATGCAACTTGATATCAACACAATTTTCTTCTTTGAAACAGGGTACTGTGGGATTTGAAAACCAGATCAACAAATGCCTGGAGTTGGCTGAATATCTCTATGCCAAGATTAAAACCAGAGAAGAATTTGAGATGGTTTTTGATGGTGAGGTAGGTTGTCATCATGGGCCAGACACGTGGGTCTCCCAGAAAAACCAGCAGGGGAGTTCCAGAGTTTTAGATGATTGACGTCTCATCATCTCACCCAGAATAGGACTTAAACTTCTCCCAATCATGGCCCCTCTCACCCAAGATATCTTTACACAACCGCAGGTATATAGACACAAAAAGTAGACATATTGAGGATGAACAGTAAAGATAACTATTTTAAAGCAATTCTCTGGTAGGCAGTTTTTGCTATTTATTAAAGACTAAAGTAAGTTTCCATACTAATGAGATGGGTGCTTTTGTGTATTTTTACACAAAGAATTAAATTTTGACTGAATAGGTGATATTGCAAGATGTAGTGGATCCTTAACATTTTTTCAGAGTTGGTTTTATAATCTTCAATGCAGAGAACTCTGCTTTGCATTAACATGTGGTATATATAGTACAAAATGGCAGAACATCAATAGAAAAATACTAAAAGCCTCCATTTTCTGTGACTGAGCCATTTTCTTATCCAGTGAGCCACCTCTCCAGCTGCGATTGAGCCATTTTCTAAAGGCACAGAACACTTCATAGGTAGAGTGAAAACACATCTGTTCATAGTCTGGCCTCTGGGTGGAGCTGTTTCGGGCAGCCTTCCTTGACACCGTGTGGCACGATAGCGCATGTGCACTACAGGTGTGAATGTTGTATGCTCCAAACCAAGTCTGTAGTGAGGACATGATGCAACACAGCAACACAGCACCACAGCGCTGCCAGCAAGCCCCAGATTCATTGCATATTTAATTTAGAGTTTAGTTTTAATCATTCTATAATCAGAAGTCTTTTGCAATTCCCCCACTCTCAGTCACACAACCCCGACAATGTAGCTGGTCCTAAACCTTCATTGTTCTCAATTCGGTCTGGAGTTGGATTCTATCCATGATATGTGTCTCCCAGGCCCAAGAAGCTTAGAGATCAGGTATATCCTCATCCTCCAAGCCTGGCTCTAAATGAGGTTTTGCTGTCCACGGATTCATTATGAAGAGAACCAGATAAACTGCCTCTGCCTAGGTTCACACACTCCCCTTATTATACACAGTAAAGTACCTGTCAGCCCAATGTTTCCTGGGTGCCAACTATGTGCCAGACCCTGACTTATATATTATTAGCCAAAACAAACACCGTGTCTGCCCTGGTCGAGTTTAAAGTTGAATAAAGAAACATGGAATTACTGCCAGTCCTGAAAAAGAAAGCCTGTTCATAACCTCTGTAACCGAGCACCATGCACAGCTGGTGTGTGTCTATTTACACTTCTCGGCAAAATACCTGAGAGGCACCCAAGATCACCGGAGTCAGGCATAGTCAACCTGTACTGCTCCTGCACCTCCTCTGTGGGCTGTCCTTTATGTGCGGGTGTACACTTTCTAGTAGAAGATTGAAAAGACAACTGTGATGTCACCAGCTACCTAGAAGCAGGCACAGTGCTGGTGACACTGCAGGAGAAAACTGCAAACCTCTTTCACACACATATCCCCACCACCACCACCCCCAAACACGGTATCAATAAAGTAAGCCGAGCTGCTTTCCCCTGCACCAACATCAAAGTAACACGCTTCTCTGAATGACTCAAATGCCATTGTCTTTAGCATTTCAAGGTACAAAGGCAGTAGGTTGGGGGATCTAGAGAGTTGGTTGGGGGCTGGGGAGTCAGCAGTCTTGACTGGTGAGGCTGGAGGAGCTGAGCTTCCTGCCTGGTGTGTTTGTCTGCCTGCCCCGTTGCTTTTGGAGACACCATTCAGACCTCTTTCTTTTGGACTGAGGAAAAAACAACTTTCTCCAAAAATGCTTCTGGCTTTTGGTCAAGTTCTAATCATTTTATTTTTGTTTGCTTGATTGTCTTTTGAAATTTCTGCAGCCTGAGCACACAAACGTCTGTTTCTGGTACATTCCACAAAGCCTGAGAGGGGTTCCGGATAGCCCTGAGCGAAGAGAAAAACTGCACAGGGTAAGGACGAGCTTAGGGTCTCACCTACGCCCCCTGCTGTTTGCCTCACTGGCCAGGCCATTCTCCTGCCCCTGTGCTGTTCTCAAAGGGGAGGATTGAAAAAAAGAAAGCCTTGGGTGGGCTTCTGGGTAATGGGGCAGTGCATCTTGATTTATGCTTCTGTGGTCTGCAGTGACCCCTTGCTGTGGTTCAGATACTATAGGGACCTCTCAAAGGTGGCGAGGAACACCTGGAAGGGTGTTTTTCATCATTGAGGCTGGATGCACAGCAGTTCCTTGGAAACTTCCACACTCTACTGTGTCTGTTATTATACTAAGTCGAGGCCTACTTGACTGCTGACTCATCTCTGTTGAGTCCTATCAAGCTTAGTCTATTCAAAGTTGTTGGCAAATTTATGTAACACATTAGGCATGCAACCATTGAACAGATATTTGATAAACCCAATCTGTGGGCCAGGCAGTATCTTAGACTGTAGGCCATACACAACCATAACTTGTAGTGTTGTCTGTCTTTGATCTTTTTTTTTTCATTTTATTATCATTAAGACTGACGTTCAAGATTCAGTTGCCCAGGGCTTTCCAAATGAACTCCTAGTTGGGTGGGTTTAGATATTAGCTGTGAAAAATACTTGGTTCTAAAGGTGCTTTTGTTATTTTAGACAAATAGCACCAAGTAAACTGAGTTGATCTGTCATAAAAGAAGGGCTGTCATCATCAGGGCTGAGTTTGGCTTTATGTTCTCCATCACAAGGTGGCTCCCAAGATCAAAGCCCTGATGATGGAGTCGGGCACAACCATGGTTGGCTACCAGCCTCAGGGGGACAAAGCCAACTTCTTCCGGATGGTCATCTCCAACCCAGCTGCCACCCAGTCTGACATCGACTTCCTCATTGAAGAGATAGAGAGGCTGGGCCAGGACCTGTAATAACCTTTGCTGAACCAGGGTCCTCGGCCATGCTCTTTCCCCTATGGCACCCTTCAGTAGCTGACACACCCCAACCGTTTCACTGAAGGAAATGGTAATCTCTTGAAGAATATTTGTCACAACCTCACATAAGCTTGTTTGTTAGCGTTAGCAGGAAATAATGTTCTTAAAAAAAAAACTGCACATTAGGAACACAGTATATATGTACAGTTATATATACCTCTCTCTATGTATATGTATGTATAGTGAGCGTGGCTTAGTCCTAGACCACAGCATGCCTCCCGTCCCCCAGAGAATTAGCCTCACCTCCCAAAAATTATTAAGAGGCTAACTGCAGGACAGATGGCACCCCCACTGCTGTGTCCTAGGGACCCAGGGATATGCTGCTGGTGGGAGCCTACCTCCCTGTTAGAACTGTTCACACCTGAAGGGATAGAGATGATGGATGACAGAAAGTACCAGTAGATGACAAGTGTCACACCAACCCCCCTCCCCCCCTCCCGTTAGTACCTTGCTAGGGGAAATAGTAGCAGAGTCCGTCGCAATTGTGCTGTTGCTGTTTTTAGCGATGTGTAGACTGTGTATATTACTGTGTCTGGCCTTGGGCAGGGGGAAGCACACAGAATGATTTAATTGTATGTCAGCGAAATATTTGCTTATTTATATTCAAATATATACCATGTTGAAGAGGCATCTTGTATTTTCTTCCCATTTGTAATGTATCTTATTTATATATTAATGAAGTAAGTTCTGAATACTGTTTATGGTATTTTCGTGCATTTGTGAGCCAAAGAGAAAAGATGAAAATTAGTGAGACTTGCATTTATATTAGAGTGCCCTTAACATAATGGTTTAAACATATGTGTACTGTCTGGAAAATTGTTCTGATACTGTACATAGAATCACATATATGGAAATCCTGCTTCAGTAGCCTCCTTTCTTCTTTTTCCCCATCTGGCTGTATGTCGGGTGTTCTCAATGCTTTTCTAGTAACTGTTGAATAATAATATCTAGCTCTCCTGTAATTTTGTAGTAGTACATGACCAATCTCTGTGACTCGCTTAGCTGAAACCTAAGGCAATGTTTCTGAAGATCTCCGATACACTGACCAGACCCACAAGTGTTTTTGAAGAAATGAAACCCACACTGTGCGTTTTAGAGTATGCAAGAAAAATATAAATAAATAAATAAATAAATAAATAAATAAATATTCTCCATGAAGAACTTGAACCATTTTTTTTTCTTCTAGTCTGTGTTTCAAATATAAAGAGAGTTCCAGAAACATTTATTTGGGATCATTCGTGGTCCATTCATTTCCCACTGGCTACCTTGAGGGGATGCTCTGTCTTCTGGCTAAGCTGAGCCTTTAACCATCTGTTGCGGGTTCCTATGCCCTTCATCAAGACAGTCACTGGGTCTGTAGTTAAATTAGATTTGCTCTTTGTGCCCAGAGGAGGAAAAGCAAGCCCTGTTTCTCACCCTCCTGGCTGCGTCTTGGAGTTGCATGCCTCATCAGTAAATGAATATTTCCATCCTCTACCGCAGAGATAGTTATGGGCCCCAAGGTTGCTGTGGTGAGTGTGGCAGACAAATATCCCTTCTAGTTTGGACCTTAAATCATCTGTCATCTTTGCCTGTCAGTCACAGAATCACAGCTTCTTGCTATCTGTGCTTGTACAGTGGTTCCTCTTAAAATATGTACTTAGTTGCTGGATCATAAGGAGAAAGGGTTCAATGAATACACTGTTCTGTTAAGCTATAAACAGTACCTTATTCATTAGAACAGCGGTTTTGTCTACAGCACATGTGGGAGATAGAGAAGTGACCCTAGTACATAGCACGGAGATTGATTAAACAAACTGGGCCATGGGGAGTGATCAGGAAAACACTTTATTCTTTTTTCAGATACTTCCTGTGAGTTTCCTCCCTCCATGTTCTTACTTGAATTCAGGCCATTCCCATAGCTTTCTTGGCCTGTCTATGAGAAGGGCCTTATTCTACAAGAACTGTCCAGTTTCATGAAGTAAGAGTGCCTTCAAGGAGCTGGAGAGTTGCTCAGTGCTTAAGAGCACTGGCTGCTGTTCCAAGGGACCCAGGTTCAATTCCCAGCACCCACATGGCAGCTCACGGCTGTCTGTAACTCTTAGTTCTGACATTCTCACACAGATATACATGCAGGCAAAACACCAATGCACATAAAATAAAAACAATAAATTAAAAAGTGTGTGTGCTACCACACCCAGTGATGTAATAAAAAAAAAAAAAAAAGGTGCGTTGGAGTTGTGTACAGGATAGAGTTCCTCTCTGCTCCCTCATTTTGCCATTGTTTCAGGCCTCAAGCTCTTAGGAGGAAGGTGATGGGGGCTGCTGGCGTGTTCTCTTTAAAACCATTCTGCTCATTTTTTTCTAGCAACTATATCTTCTCATACAGGTCAGGCCTGTAGGAAGAAAAGGCTAACGTGACAAAGGAATTATTTTTTTAAAGACTTTTTAAGTCATTTTGAATTATGCGTGGGGGGGGGGAGGGTTGTGCACATGAGTGTGAGTGCCCCAGGGAGTCAAAGGCATATAGAATCCTCTGGAATTGGAGTTGCAGATAACTGTGAGTCCCCACACCCACCATGTGAGAACCCAACTAGTATGAAAAGCAGTGTTCACTCTTAACCAATGAGCCATCTTCCAGCTACCAAAGCCATAATTTTACAAAGATGTTAAAGTGACATCTGGCATTAGGTCTCCCAGACCACAAAGAATGCTTTTGTTTGTTTTTTAGTGGGACAATTTAGGGGTAGAATTAAGGAGGCATTTTAAAATTAAGGTAAATTCCTTCTTTTTACTGTGCTGTGTGATTTTGACAAACCCATTTTGTCGTGTCACTGATGGCATGACCCAAGTCCACCCCTTGTGCCTTTGACCTGACCTCCCCTCTTCTCCCAGCCTCTTGCTGGCTCCTTGAGTTCTGCCCTTCCATCGAATATTCATGCTATACTATGTAGCTTTCAAGTGTGCCCCTTTCACTTTACCTAAAGTATTTGGGATCCATCCGTGTTGTCTGTGTAAGTGTCCGTATCCACCTCTCTATGCTTTTCCACTTATTTGGATAAACCACCAATTATTTGAAATGTAAGGGGTTTCCATTTCTGGTCAATTAAATAAAATTATTATAAACATTAGCATGTAGATGTTTGTATAAATACAGAGTTCATTTAATTTGGGTAAACAGCTATGTGGGCGTAGGGTTCCCAGATGATATGCTGAGAACATACTTAACTTTGAAAGAAACTGTTGAACTAATTAAACAAAATCTGTAGGGAATAGCTTTGGGCTCCTGCTTAGCCCATGGATCTCAAACACAGCTCTCAGAGGCAGCCTTACATGTTGCCTCTGGTAACTCTTTCCAGATTTATTTTTACTATTTTTATTTATGTGTCTGTGTGTCTTTGTGTCTGTGTGTGGTGCAGGTGCCAGAAGAGAACAAAAGTGTCAGTCAGTTCCCCTGAGCTGGAGTCACAGGTGATTGTGAGCCATGCAACATGGGTGCTGGGAACTGAACTCAGGTCCACTCCAGAGTCCTGTGTACTCTTAAGTACTGAGCCATCTCTCCAGCTCCTGGTAACTAGTTGTTTTTAAAGCCGTGTTTATTTTTAATCTTATGTGTATGTATGTTTTGCCTGCATGCATGTCTGTGAACCATGTGCAGCATACCTGGTGCCCTCAGGAACCAGATTCCCTGGAACTGGAGTTACAGATGGTTATGAGTGTCTATATAGGTGCTGTGAATCGAACCTGGGTCCTCTGGAAGAGCATCAAGGACTCTTAAAAACTGAGCCATCTCTCTGGCCCTGATAACTCATTTTCATGGCTCCACTGCTGTTTGCATTGTAACATGTACTTCAGTTGGCTTGAGCATGCTTTCAGGAGTAAATACCATGAGTTTCCCCAGGTTTTGTGTTTGTTTTGTTTGTAGCCTTTATGCAGATGTTGTTCTGAGTATCCGTATTTCCTAGTGCAACATGCACAAAGGTTTTTCTAAGGTTAATCCAGAAAGAAAATGGCTGGATCACTGTGCTCTTGACCTTCACTGGCAAAGCATAGTCACGCTGAAGCAGCAAGCCCAGCCCCCATGTGCCTCACTGCATAGCCTCACCATCACTTGGCCTAAAATTCAGCACTTTGCAGGCAGAATATACATTAGATTCATGACTAGACTGTGTGTTGTTTAAGCTTCTTGAGAGTGTACTCAGGGAGCTAAGAGTCCCTCCCTTGTTCCAGACCCGGGCATGTTCATCTCAAATGTCCTCCCAAACCCCCAAATCTAAGGCATCGAGATGGGAAAACAGCACACAGCTGAGGGTATGAAGAACATGGCATTCTTGAGAACAGCTAGAAAGCAACAGAGTTGAGTGCTGTTTATCCCATAGTATAAAAATGTTGGCATTGGGACGATGCTGGACACTCATCCATAAGAGAAAACTCTCTAACCAAGATTCAGTCAGTTACTCCAGCTGACTGCTTCAATGGGGGAGTTCCTCAGTTGACTCTGTGGGACCTTGCAAGTGCCCTTTGATGTTATCAACTGCTGATTTCTTCTTGTCTTTCACTTTTACCTGCTAGTCTTAGTTGGGGGTCACTATTGCTGTGATGTAACACCAAGACTAAAAGCAGCCTGGGCTGATAAGGGATTATTTGGCTTATAATCACAGATTATAGTCCATTGCAGAAAGTCGGGATAGGAACTCAATCAAACAGGGCAGGAACCTGGAGGCAGAAGCCAATGCAGAGGTCATGGAAGGGCGTTGCTTACTGGCTTGCTCAATATGGCTTGCTCAGCCTGCTTTCTTATGGCACCCAGGACCACCACCCCAGGGATGGCATCACCCATAGTAGGTTGGGCCCTCCCCCATCAATCACTAATTAAGAAAATGCCTTACAGCTGGATCTCACAGAGGCATTTTCTGAATTGAAGATCTCTCCTTTATAGTGACTCTAACCTGTGTCAA